CACACTGGTAATATTGTCAAAATAGATTTTGTTAGGAAATCATAAAAGTGTTAAATGTTATTCTTCTTAAGATGCAAATGCTGCCGCAGATGAACTAGTTAATACCATTGTAGACACAATCAAATTATGCAGTCAAAAACCTCAACTACGTGGAAAAAATACAAAAATCGCTCCTTGGGTTACAAATGCGATATTAAAATATATAAATACAAAAAATCATATGCATGAAAGGTTACAAAAAGATCCACTTAATATGTTACTAGTAAATGAATATAAGTCCTATAGAAATAAATTAAATTAAAAAAACTAAATTTGAATATTTTAAATCTCAAATTGACAATAACTCACATAATCCTAAAAACTTATGGACTTTAATCAATAAAATTAGTAATATAGCAAAAACTAAACAACCAATAAAAAAATTAAAAATGATAATGGTAATATACTATAAGAATATTGATATTGCAAATGAAATTAATAATAAATTTGTTGAAACTGGTAAAATATTAGCAAATAAAATTAAAGTGGATAACGACTATAAATATGAAAGAGGGACATTAGTTAATTCATTTGTATTTTTACCAATTGACAGTAATGAGCTTAAAAAAAAAGAAATACTAAACTTGCCAGATAAAAAAGCAACCGGTACGGATAACTTACGGAGTGAAACAATATAAACTATTACTAATTATATCCTAGAACCATTTGCTTATGTTCTAAACCGATGTGTGGAGGAAAATACATATATTTCTAACTATTTTTAAAAAAAGTTTAGTAATTCCTATATACAAAACTGGGGATGAGACAAATGCTGGTAATTATCGACCTATTTCACTTATTTCTCATATGTCTAAAGTATTTGAAAAAATAACTATAAAACGTCTTTGGTCATATATAAAAAATATCATGTATTATCACAAAATCAATTTGGTTTTAAGGAAAATACTTCTACACAAGATGCTGTACTAGCTTTGACATCGACAATAATTAATTCCCTTGATAAAAGTAAACCATGTCTGTGCATATTCATAGACCTGTCCAAGGCCTTCGATACTGTGAGTTAAATGATATTGGCATAAATATTGTTCTAAACCTCTTTAAATCTTACTTAGGTAATAGAACTTATGTTGTAAAAGTCGATAATGTACTCAGCAGTAAAAGGGTCTTGGAGTATGGAGTACCACAGGGGTCTGTGTTAGGACCAACGTTATTTAATTTATACGTTAATGATCTTTTTTCTTTAAAGTGCAATGGGAAAATTTTTGGTTTTGCAGTTGATACTGCCATTTTCTTTGAAGCTGACAATTGGTATAACCTGAAACAAAAAGCTGAAAAGAATTTTAGTTTAATAAAAACATGACTTGATTTTAAATTACTGATTGTAAATAAGCAAAAACCCACTAATTACCCTTTAGCTGCATAACATCTGATTTACCTAATTTTAATATTAATGTGAACAGTGAATCTTTTTTGATTGCTCCTGTAAAACAAATTAAATATTTAGGAATTATTATCGACTCTTAAATAAAGTGGAACCTACATATAGAACACATTGTAAATAAACTGCGATGTATATTGTATACATATTAAAAGACATATTATCTTTTGAATACATGCGGCTGTTATATTTAATATTAATGGAAAGCCATCTTCGTTACGGTATATGTGCCTGGGGTGGAGCTTTAAAAATTCACTTAACGTCATTGAAAGTGGTTCAAAAAAGGACTTTAAAAATAATTTACAGAAACGAACGAATGTATAACACAAAAGCACTCTTTGAAGAAACAAAACTTTTAACTATTAGACAATTATATTTTTTAAATTGCTGTGCTTTATTTCACAATAAAACAAAATACGAGGATATGCGTCCAATTCACTCGTATTCTACCCGCCTAAACCATTTGTATATTCTCCAACGATGCTAAAAACATGCACGCAAAAATCATACGGATATATGTCCTTAAAATTATATAACTCTCTACCTAACGAATTTAAAATAATTAATAATGAAAATTTATTTTAAAAAATACGCGTGGCACTCGGGGACTGCCGCGGTAAATCTATCGCATAGCATTTTTTATCAACTTATGCAATTATAATTATTTATTTATGCAGTATTTTTTTTCTTTGATATTAATTCAAGTTTTTTCTTTGATATTAATTCAAGTTACACTTTTTGAGCGTGGTGACCGTTAAGAAAACAAATTTTTTTAATTTTTATTATCTTAAAATACATGTAGGTTATTCAGGATTTTTTATTATTGAAACTATAGGTTTATGGTAACTGAAATAAGAAACATAAGTTCGAGACTTGATATCCTCTAAATATCTGGAAAATACCGCGTCAATAGTCCCTTATTTTGTTATGGATTATTGTGGATCATTATTCATTTTTAAATTCAATTTTTCCGAAATTGTGTCTAAAAGAGATAGAATCAGTTATGAGCAGTTAGCAGCTAATCTACACGCATACGTCTAGTCGCACAAACACAATCACCGTGCCGAAATCTGCCGAACTGAAACGACGTTACACGATGCACGGCTTTCAACGCCGCACCGCTGTACCGGTCGGAGTGGGAGGAGTTAGGTTTATTTTCGTTACGGAATTTCTTTTTCGATTTTTCGGTTTTTTTATTTTTCGATTTTTCAATTTTTTCATTTTTCGATTTTTGATTTTTCGCTTTTACGATTTTTTGATTTTTCAGTTTTTCGATTTTTTCGATTTTTCAATTTTTGGTTTTTCGATTTTTCGGTTTTTTGATTTTTCGATTTTTCAGTTTTTCGATTTTTCAATTTTATTAATTTTTCCATTTTTCGATTTTTTGATTTTTCGGATTTTCGTTTTGTTTTTTCGATTTTTTGATTTTTTGATTTTTCGGTTTTTCGATTTTTCGGTTTTTTGATTTTTCGATTTTTCGGTTTTTCGGTTTTCGATTTTTTGATTTTTCAGTTTTTCGATTTTTCAATTTTTGGTTTTTCGATTTTTCGGTTTTTTGATTTTTCGATTTTTCGATTTTTCAGTTTTTCGATTTTTCAATTTTTTTAATTTTTCCATTTTTCGGTTTTTCGATTTTTCGATTTTTTGATTTTCGATTTATCGGTTTTTCGATTTTTCGATTTTTTGATTTTTCGGATTTTCGTTTTTTCGATTTTTTGATTTTTTGATTTTTTGGTTTTTCGGTTTTTCGAATTTCGTTTTTTCGTTTTTTCGATTTTTCGATTTTTAGATTTTTCGATTTTTAGGTTTTCGATTTTTCGATTTTTTGATTTTTTGATATTCGATTTTTTGATTTTTAGGTTTTCGATTTTTCGGTTTTTCGATTTTCGTTTTTTCGATTATTCGATTTTTCGTTTTTTCGATTTTTTCGATTTTTAGGTTTTCGATTTTTCGATTTTTAGGTTTTCGATTTTTCAATTTTTGGATTTTTCGATTTTTAGGATTTTCGATTTTTCGTTTTTTCGATTTTTCGTTTTTTCGATTTTCTTTTATTGAATAAATGAAAAGTTAATATTGTTTAACGCCGCACCGCTGTGCCGGTCGGAGTGGAGGGTGTTAGGTTTTTCGTTACGGTTTCGTTTTTTTTTTCTTGATTCGGTCGCCGTGCTCAAAGCCCGCGATAAAAGCTATGCAATAGCTTAAAAAAAGTTAAAAGAATATTTGAGTAGGAAATCGCTGAATATGGTGGATATTTGTCTTGAAGTTTAAACAATAATGTCACTTCTAACGTGAATAAAAATTTTATGTTATTTTATTAAATTTATGATATGTTTTGTTATGTGATATGTTTATATTGTTTATATTTTTTGCTATTGAAACTGTAATGTTATTTAATTCTTTTCACTTTATATGAAATATTGTACCTGTGTGTTATACAATTGCTAAGTGGTTCTATTCATATTATCTGAAATACCCTCATCTGTATTGCAAATAGATTTAGCAACTTATTATAACTCCTGCTAACTTGAAGGTCTCTTCCATTTATTCATATTTGTCATAATGTAGAAACACTTTACTATTTTGATTTAATCACTAAATGTATGGCAGGTTCAAATTAGACCCTTTTAGTAAAATTCAACTTGAACAAGTTGGAGCATGCAAGACGACTAGGGTTGCCAGATTTACGAAAGTAAAAAGCGTGACAACCGTGACGACAGAGCATCAGGTTCAAATACCAAGCATTTTTATATAATTAGGTCCATTAATTGTGCAAATTTCTAAAAGAAAAAGTCCTCGCCTCGTATTTTTCGTAAAACGAGGAACCTTTAGCCGATATTTACCTAAAAAAAAGTCTTTACCTTATATTTTTCGATAAATCCAGTTCCTCCTTTTTATTTACTTTGAATATTAAAAAGCGTGGCATTTACATAAAAAGAGTAGCATTGGCATAAAAAGAGTGGTATTTGCATAAAAAAAATGGCATTTTTATCAAAAGCGAGACATTTTCGTACTGTGGCGTTGAGCGTACAAGTAAGTCAAAAAGAGTGGAAAATACGCCAAAAGCGTGACGTCTGGCAACCCTGAAGACGACTAATAAGGCAAATATACACTCTCAGAGAAAATAGCTGGAATACGAAGTTGCCAGATTGTCAAGTTTTTCATCTATTTAATTATTAATTTTGTCATAGGGTCAGCATTGACCCTAAGGGTTAATTTTTACATCCCTAGAATCGCTGCAAGGCTCAACCCTTTTCATTTCCGATTCCTAGGACTAATGTGCTGTGTCGGTCACCATTATTCAGTATACTATCAGAGGTAAATAACTATTCGAATAATATCGATATATTTTGTACTTTAATAATAATGTTATTTACAAAAAAAAAACAAAAATACAAATTTATTTTTAAAGAAGATAGATGTAAATAAACAATGGTGATCCCGTAAAAACCAATGGTTGTGCACGGGTTGAACTTGTTTATTTGCAACTAATGATTGTTAGTAAGAAATTTATTTTAATACCTCAATTTAAAATGCCATATTTTGATCAAAGGACAATACTTAATTAGTTATATAGTATTAGTATATTAGTATTAGTATTATTCTTAGTATTATTATTAGTATTAGTATTAGTATTAGTATTAGTATCAGTATCAGTATCAGTATCAGTATTAGTATTAGTATTAGTATTAGTATTAGTATTATTATTAGTATTAGTATTAGTATTAGTATTAGTATTAGTATTAGTATTAGTATTAGTATTAGTATTAGTATTAGTATTAGTATTAGTATTAGTATTAGTATTAGTATTAGTATTAGTATTAGTATTAGTATTAGTATTAGTATTAGTATTAGTATTAGTATTAGTATTAGTATTAGTATTAGTATTAGTATTAGTATTAGTATTAGTATTAGTATTAGTATTAGTATTAGTATTAGTATTAGTATTAGTATTAGTATTAGTATTAGTATTAGTATTAGTATTAGTATTAGTATTAGTATTAGTATTAGTATTAGTATTAGTATTAGTATTAGTATTAGTATTAGTATTAGTATTAGTATTAGTATTAGTATTAGTATTAGTATTAGTATTAGTATTAGTATTAGTATTAGTATTAGTATTAGTATTAGTATTAGTATTAGTATTAGTATTAGTATTAGTATTAGTATTAGTATTAGTATTAGTATTAGTATTAGTATTAGTATTAGTATTAGTATTAGTATTAGTATTAGTATTAGTATTAGTATTAGTATTAGTATTAGTATTAGTATTAGTATTAGTATTAGTATTAGGATTAGCATTAGCATTAGTATTAGTATTAGTATTAGTATTAGTATTAGTATTAGTGTTAGTATTAGTATTAGTATTAGTATTAGTATTAGGTATATAGTATTCTAAAGATTGCGGATACATAGTGCATTCTAGAGAAAGTGGATACATAGTGGCAATATAGAGACGACATGAAAATAAATAAAAAGTGTGTACCTTTTTGCCATATGATTATTTTGAATCTATCAAATGATGTATATATTTCCTTTCAGTATTAGCTAGGAATTTTTTGAAAACTTTCCTAATGAAAATTGTTTTAATGTATATTTTATAAATTTCTGGTAGTGAATTAAAAAGCTTTGGTGTCAAGTAAGTAAAACACCTTTGTCCTAGAGTCTTAATGACCAGATTTTAACGAAATAGGAAGTTTCTTGTCTATATATGCGTGATCAATCAAGGGAAAAAAAACTGAAGTTTTTTTTCCTTTGATCTTCTGCAGTTAACCTTTTTCATATTAACTATTGTATTCTAAATTTAAATTTCAATATACTTTCCACAGTAATTTTTTTTTTTTTAATTTTTAACTAATTTGTTAACTTGTTTTCAACTGTACTCAATGTGAAGGTGGTATAATTCCTTAGTTCCACACAAGCTAACTTGCTTCTGGAGATCAGATATGATTTTTTAGGGACTTTTTCCACACTCACTATTCCCAACACTGGGTTGTCACTCTGTTTGTTATCTTTTAATTGTTAATTTGTTCAAAATCACCCTTTATATTTTTTTTAACTTTTGACTTAAAAGTCTTACTCAGATTTTATCTTTACACATATTTATAAATTGTAAGTTTACATCCACAATTTTTGTAGATAAGCACTGATGATGGCACAATGCCGAAAGCGCTTTGCATTTATTAATTAAAAAGTTTTGCACGAAATACAAGTCTCCTTTTGAATTATTAAGTTTAGTCGTTATCGTTTGATAGTCAAGCATGCTGTTAGCATACGATGCAAAAGGTATAATTTTTTTTTGTCGAAATTGATTAACTTATTATTAAACCATTCAATTATTTTTATCATATCCGCTTCAACATTCTCTTTCAGTTCTTGCCATGTGCGAAAACTGTACAGAATAACTGTGTCGCCAGCGAAACAAGTAATTTATCCAGATATTTCTAAATTTAGCAAACTATTTACATAGTGAAAATAAAAGTGGGCCCAAAATAGTTCCTTGAAGCACACCATACGATACATTAGTTAGATTACTAAATTGATTGCTGATTTATACTGTTTGAGTTCGATGTTCAAGATAACTTGTCATTAGTTGGTGTGGTATGCCTCTAATTTCTATATTTTCCAAGGTGTCCAACAACTGAGTGTTTGACACTGTGTCAAACGCCTTGGCCAAATCTAGGAATATACCTATTGTGAGGGTACCTGTATCTATTAATTTGTAAATTTTTGAAGTCAAATTAGTTATGGCGTCTATTGTTGATATACCTTTTCTAAAGCCATATTGTTTATTGGAAATTAAATTATGTTTAGTACAAAATCCATTTAGCCTATCGTTTAAAGATGATTCAAAAATCTTAGTTATACAGGTAATTAAAGAAATCGGCCTGCAATTGCATACATTTTTCCGATCTCCTGTTTTATAAACTGGTATTGCTATTGACTGCTTAAAGTGGGAAAGACATATGCCCGTTTTGAAAATTTTGTTAATAATTATAAATGTTAAAGGTTGTTTTGTCTCATCAGCAATGTGCTTTATGGTGTCAATCTTAATGTTATCGGAACCTGGTGCCTTGTGAGGTTTGAGTGAATTGATTGTGTTTTTATTTTCTCTTTCGTCTACAGGTTCTAAGAAAAAGTTGTAAGGATTAAAAGCAGGACGTGTATTTGGAGTGTTTGGTTTTATAATGCGTTTTGCGTATAGCTCGCTGACATTTGAAAAATAGCTATTAAATATATTTGCCACTTTTTTTATCTTTTACTGTACTATATTCATTATCAAATATTTCTTCTTTATCTAACGTTTTATTGCTTTTATTGATTTGTTTAATTGTGTTCCACAACCCCTTTGAATTATTTTTATGTTTATCTATTTCTTTTTGGTAATAGTTTTTCTTCGCTTTTGCTATCAGTTTCGATAATTTATTTTTATATTTTACAAAAGTACTTTTTATTTTCATAATATTAAAATTTTGTTTGTAGGATCTATATTATTCATTTTTTCTTTTAATTGAACTAATAATCACTTGAGTTATCCATAAATATCTTTTAATTTCATTTCTTTTTGATTTTATTAATTTAGTATGTATTTTCATTTATTAGTTTTTTTTTTTAAATCACTTATAAAAATCTCTGTAAGATTTTTTACTATTTTAGCTGGAAGATAAATAAAATTAAAACATTGTTGCTGTAATTGTAAATACACCTAGCTCTGTGGTGTACTGTGAATAGTTACGTTTTTTCTGTATTGTTCTGCTCTTCTGTGGCCTTAGCAAGATCTATAAAAATACATATTGATAATTTACTTGAATTTATGGCATTGTATATATATGAGTTGTTAAATTGACCACAGCGTCTTCAGTTGATTTATTTTCGCGGAGATAAAATATATTTTTCTAGATAAAATATCATTATTTTTTTGTACTCTTTTTCGAATATTTTTGCTAAATTGGAAATAAGAGTAATAGGACGGAAATTATTCACCTCTGTATAACAGCCTTTTTTAAAAATTGGTTTAATAACTGCAGTTTTTAATTTTTTTTGGAAATACACCTTTCTCCTTTGTTAAATTGATTATGTAGCTTAGAAGAGGCAAAATTTCATTATCCATCTCAGTAGTTGCAGTAAAGAAAAGTGGATTTTTTTGATTTATGATATTTTGATGATTTAAATTTGTATTTTTTTTTTTATTTTTGGGGCTAGATTTTTACCGTTTTGAAAGAATTTATTAAATCTCTCTGCTATTTACATTTCATCAGTGTCAGAATTTATCTTGGAAGTCTTTTCCAGTTTTTTCTTTTCGTTGCAGATTTATTTTACACATTCCCACAGTTTGTTAGTATCTTTTTTATTTTCTTCAATTTTTTCTTGGTAATTATAATCACTAATCACCTATGAAACATTTTTTCCAAACACAGAGTCTCACTTTGTGTATCAAAATATGTTGCACAGTTGCACAGTCAATACATTCTCATGTATGCATTCAATCACTTAATCCCCAAACAACATTTTTACCGCGCTGCATATCTGTCAAAACTAGGAAGACAAAGTATCCTCAGCAGTCACTCGTTGTACCGAAAATAGTGTCTCTTTGCGGCAGAGACGTACATCATAACTCACATTTAAGTTAATGCCGTGGATACATCAAACGGCACAGTACGGTTAAATAAAAAGTAGTCTGGGTCTTTACGCGAATTTTGCACGCGATTCCGCCTGCACCTCGAATACCAATGAGGCGTCGAGTGTGTCGTAAAAAGGATTATGAGTAATGGCCTCATCATACTCCTGCATCAAAACTCTTTTATTAAAGAAAAGAGACAAAATGAAATAGGGACTTCGGCCGTTAACTTTTAAAGTTTGTTTTTATTTGATAAAGTTTTGTAGCCGAATAGGGTGTTAAAGTGCGAGAGATATTGTCGAATATGTAGTAAAAAGTTGTTGATATAAAGTAATGTTTTATTAGGATTTAACTATTTACCATGTACAGAGAGCAATTTTTCATAAAAGCACGGTATAATAAGCTAAACATAAAAGCTATATATATAAAATTATAGCAATTTTACAGTCAAAGTACTAACTCGATGAATATATTCATTTTTAATGAAAATAAAAAAAATGGTACGTTATTTTTTTGCTTCAGAATTCTAATGATCTCGTGTCTTCTTTACTCCTAGCTCTTCTTCTAAACCTACACTATCACTGTAACATTGAAAAATTACAGCGCCATTACCACAATCAACATTATCACCGTAGTCATTTCACATCACAATTTCAGCATTATTTGCATACTCTCAAATACAAAAATAGCACACTTGTTAAAACGCATACTGTTTTCATTTGAAATATCACTTATCTACTTCACATCGTATTGTTTATTCCTAACCAATCTGCCGAATGTGCTCTCTTCCTATAACACAATTGTCGATCTCAAGTTCGTTGCTCATATAAGTGTGTTTCTATTCTGCTTTAGGGCACATTGATTTAAAATATTAACTAATAAGAACTTGTAATGCATGATCAACGTGGACTTAAGACTTGAGTTGTTCGAGTCTACGTTGTCTAGACTAGATTTCTTGAACTATCATAAAGCAGGGTTATTCTGTTGTGATGGTGCTTCTGTACTATGACGCATTTCTTTCAAAATGTCAACCACAGCAGTAGAAACAACATTATGTGTACCTTCGGCGTCTGCTGCTTCAGGTTCGGGGGGAAGTCGTTGCTTTGGCTTGGGAGGATCGAATGGATGTAGAACAGTTTTACGGAAACCCAAGATGAGATTTTCGGAGGCTTTACCATTTTTATCCAATTTTTGACGAAGTTTATTTATTAGCTGCGGAAATACATCTTTTGATAACGTAGACATTTTACGCCCTCCTGTTTTCTTCCATTCGGTAAGTATCGCTCACCAATACTTCTTTAGAGGAGCGTAGAATGCCTCATCAAGGGGTTGCATCAGATGAGTTGAGTTAGGGGGTAGGCAGATAAAAGATATGTTCATTTCTTGGCATGTTTGTAATACTTTCTGTGAAAAATGTGAGGATAGCTTGTCGCCAACTAAAATCTACAATAAAAATGGGGATTATTATTAAAATAGCAAAATCTTGAATCCCTAGATTATAAACAAATCTTAGCTACACCCTTGTTACTTAAATAAGGGACAACAATGCTATAAAACCAATCCTCAAAGCAGACGGCATCAAACCAGCCACTTCGAGACCGTGTAACGCGCTCCTGCAGGTCCACCGTGAGTCCAACTTTCCCACATATGATCTGCCTTGTACACTACATATTCAGGCAAAAGTTGTCCATCTGCAGTTCCAGCATACATTATGCTTATGGCAGTCTTCGTGGAGTTGATTACCCTTTCAGGATACTTGGTGCCTCTCTTGAATATACATTTTTTGCCCCTGGGTTGTCAGTCAGGTTGGTTTCGTCGAAATT